GTGAGGTTTTCCTGCCTTTCACAAAAACCATTGAAGCAATTGTTTAAATGGGATTGTGTTTAATAAGTAGGAAGTTTTTGTTTCCAGTAAATTTTTTCCTAGAACAAAAAGAAGAAATTCTTTAGCGTCAAATTTTTCATATCACTTCATTGAACCTAAAATTACATTATCTCTTTTCCCTTAAATCCTGGTACAGAACCCAATATGGTTCATGTGATGGGATCCAGATATTACAGATCTATTTGGACAGATGGTATTTGGTTCTAACTTAATAAACACAGTGCACTCAGCAGTCCCCACCCCCAGCTATGTACCTCAAATCCACTTGTCTCTCTTCCTCAATTGCATTCTCAAAACAAGATTCTGATTTTCTTCTATCAGAGAACAGAAATGATTTCGCGGTCAGTCAGCATGTCCTTAGAGGCTGATCACAACTTACTCTGCCTTATGAGATGACACTAATCATTTTTAAGTGTGTTGATGTTCAAAATGACAAGCACCCATCTGATATGTGTCATTTGTAATAATCAACTGTGAGGAAAAGGGCTTATACTCACCCAGGAGTTGGATATTTTTTAACCTACATAGATTCAAAGGATTTTTATTCACATTCTCCAGTGCATTCCCTTTCTCTTCTCATCCCACCTCACCCACAGTCTACTAATAGTGACTTCTGTCGCAGCAGTAATTGGACCTATATGTCATAAGGGAACAGGCTAGTTGTCACAGCGCAATGGCTGGGTATTCTACCCACAGTGTACGACACTAGATGATAGTGTACATCAGGGAGATTCCTTTGTTTGTAATTAAACATACACACACACTTACTTTTTTATTTACAACATATAACAAGAAGGGCAAAAAATAAAAGTCTTGCCTGCCATTTTACACCCTTATTTCTCTTGAATGCAGCCCTATTCATGTGTTTGTTATTTTAATGTGAAGCACATGTCTATGTCATGCTCAACTACATGGTGTTTGGCAACTAATTAGTAGTTTGTGCATAATTGTTTTTTTTTATTTTCTTAGGTTTATTTTTATTATTTTTGAGGTAACATTGGTTTACAACACTATACATGATTTAGGGGACTAGATTCTCACCTTCTCAGGTGTACATTAAAACACCACTCTCCCCCACCAAAGCACCCATATCCCTCTACCATAGGCTGAAGGTCCCTCCTTTGTTCCTAAACCCCCTCCCCGTCTAGTAGCCTCAATTCTTGCAAGTAGTTTTTTAAAGCGTTTCCATCTTGGCCATCACTTATTCATAAGGGAAAGTAGACTCAGTTTTTCATTTTCACCTCCTTTCATTCAGTTACACACTCAGAAATTATCAAGAAAGAATCGGAGCTGCAGAAAGCAGGTGATTGTTCTAACCTGCAGTCTATCATTCCTACAATCTCTTCCAGACCCAGGAGAACATGCAGTTTGTGGATCTGACCAGTGTCCCAAAGAAGAAAAAAGGTAAATGATCTAACAGACCCATGTCTCCTATAAACCCTCACAAACCAATCCTCAGTAATTGTTTAATAAATTTCCTGCCACCACTTAAGTCATAAGATGTAATGAAAAGCTCACATCTCCACCATTTTTGTGTTGTTCTTTACATTCTGTTTTTTAAGGAAAAGAAACGCTGTATCAAGAGCTTATCTTTCATCATCAACTTCAAATTTTTAAACACTATTTTCTCCTGAACTATCATTTCCTTTGCTCAACAGGAGAAGCTAACCCAGATTTACATTCTTCTGTGGTTTTCAGAACATTGTTTACATTTTGGCATAATTCTTTCTTCCTCCATTCCAATCAATCTACCACGGAGGGGTGGGGAGGGGAGTTCAAATTAAACTTTATTCCTCAGTGCACCTGTACTAATAGGGCAGTTTTATTGAATATCTTTAATACATTGGCCTTGATAACCAAAGAAAAAGAGTAAAGATACCATCAATGAGCATCACTGCAACTTGAAAGAACCCAAGGAAATACTGCAAAGGACAGGATGAGGTTGAAACTAGAAATTACACTATTTGGACAAGTCTCAAGATTGTTATATCACCTGATGGAAATTAAACACCAAATCTCCCTACCATGTGCACCTCTGTGTCTTAGGGACCAGAAACCTAAGAATTACATTTTCTCCAAATTCTTACCTACAAGTCTTGAGTTATACTCCACAAATGAGAGTGATGCAGAGATCACGAGTCCACATAGGGATCCCTTGCTAATTATGTGAATAACTTTAATGCCTCCCCAAACTCAAAACCAATCTAACAAACACACATTTTGCTGGACTCCTGTATAGCTAAAACCTTACTTTCCACAAATTGTATGACAAAGTTTATGGTTTTTAACCTTATAGCTCTATCTTCAAATCCTGACTCTAATGTCTACTTGACTCCTAAATTCAATTTCTTTGATGGATATTTACTGAGCACTCATTTTTTTTTTAACCTGGTACCACAATAATGAAGACATGACGTCCCTGACCTCATATGCATGAAACCTAGCAGTGAAGATTGGAAAAAGAGAAATTGCAAAGAATAAAACATACAAACAGTGAAGATGACTGGTCTTCCAGCCATAAAACAATTTTAAATTCATAGTAAGAATAATGAAGAAACATTGGAAAGTGTTCACCAATGAGTGATTTGATAAAACTGGGGTTTTTGAAAATTCACTCTGGCTAGTGGTTAAAAGTTTGAATGAAATGCAATGAGACATAGCGAGACCAGTTAGGAAGCTGCATAGTAAAGCTTATCAGGTATAATAGTGGTGTAAAGTGATAAGTGTAGCCTGAACTAAGATAAAAGCCACAAGAAAAAAAGTGAATTGATTCAAGAAACAGCTAGGAATTGTAATAAAATGTGGGAAGCAATTGGACATGTAATAAAGAGACAGAAGGGTTAAGGGTGACTCAAGAGTGTAAGATTTTTGAGAACTGGATGGACAGCAGGGGCATGATAAGGAAAGGGAATACAGGAATACAAAATAAAGTGGGGTAGGATGTGGACCATCTTGGCAGGTTCTGTGTTAGACGTGCTGGATTTGATTTGCTGGTAAGATACGCATGTGGACTCTTGACTCTTGACAGAGATACAGGATTGAAATTCAGAAGAAAGGTCTGATCTGAAAATAAAGAGTCAGGAATTGTCAGAATATGGATTACAGTTACAGACATAGGGATGTTCGTGTATGAATGGAATGACAGCTAGACTGGAGCCACCATTATTTCCTTTCTTAAATTTCATTACAGTCTTATTTTCTCATTTTGGAGAGCAATTCTAATATAAAATATCACACAATTTCCTTAATTTTCCAAATTCTTTTTATTGCAATAGATAAAATCACTAACCATACATATTAATGAATTAAAAGAATTCAAACATATATATATATATTAATGGGATCATAATCTGGAGTCTAATTGCTACTATAGCAAGTGATATAGTAGCATACACATTTCCTACAGTGTGCGATTTTCCAAGAAGGAAAAAAGAAAATCTACATATTAAACAGCTTAAGCAAAGCAACCACTATTTAAAAGACAAAAAGCTGCTTTTTTGGATGGTTATGTGAAGTCCAACAGAATACTGAATACTTCAATTATATGATATATTACAAATATACATTTTTAATTTTTAGTTCTTAATCAGTCTTCTACCTAATCTAACTTCTGTTATTGTCATTCATTTTCAGTATTCCAAAGTCAGTGAACTTTAAGACCAGTCTTTATTTCTCAGATGGCAGTTATTCAATAGGAGTCACAGTATAAATTTAAATATATCCATAAAATGAAAGTTTATAATGTTTATAACTAAATGTAATATTATCATTGAATTTATTTAACATTTAAGGAATGTATTAAAAATTCAGTCACTTTCAAATATGAGATTGCCATAAAACTTCTTTACCAGCATCCAAAGCAGCACAGCTATTTCAACATCTCCATTGTTTTTCATGAACATTGTAGGGTTTTAAGCATCTTTGGTTGGGTACCATTTAAATAAAAATTACATTCATAAAATCATTAAATGAAAAATACTATAGCATCTATATCCCATTATTTATATGTAAAATTTTACTATGTATATATTCATAAGTTATCAAAAATATAGCTAATTATTTTGAGAAAAGAGTAATTTATGTTGCAATTGCTCCAAATAGAACATTTGCAAAGTGGAACAAATCCAATGTTTTTAATATTCCTTACCAGATGGGTTTCATTTTCATGAAATTATATTGTTGTATTAATTATGAATAGGTCCATGAAAGATGAATTTCAAAAAAATAACACTATGATGTTCTGTGAACATATTACAGCTAGTTATCTGTGCAAAACATTCTTACAAATAAACACAAAATGTTAAAAATGCCACAAAAATAGTTTCTAATAGATTGAAATTTTAGTGAAGACAAAGTGAGTTCCAAGCTGGGAATAATGCATGTTCAAAAAGTTGTAACACCTATCGATACTTCTAAGTATTGAGTTGTATGCTTACTTGTTACTTAAATAGTATCTACATAAGCATGACAACTTAAAACAAGAAGTTAAATGATGGTTACTTTTCTATCTGAGAAGTTCAACTTTCAGTTCTGAGTTGCAGAAACTTGTCAGTAAACATGCATTTGGTTTTAAGAACAAAAGCTTTAAAAAACATCCTACTTGAGTACTAAGGATTTTCCCCATCATTTGCCAAAATATTAGTTACATAGGAAATTTCCATTTACTTCCTTGACATCATTCAAGTAGTCAGTAACACTTACCTGCAGCTTTTCCTGATGGGTTTAGTCTCTAAGAAGCAATAAACAACTAGGCTACATTGAGGAAGAGTCTGCTATAGCTCCATAGGAAAACTGATGTTTGGTGGGTTGTTTTTTTTTTTTACCAGAGGCAGGGGGAAGGAGGTGCTGGGGGGCAGCAAATTGCACATCATTCTCAATCTACATTCTGATGTGATTTGAAAGTCAACTTACTTCCCCTACCCCACCCCACCCCCCACAAACACACACCCCTTTAGCAATGCTGATAATGCCAATTCTTTGTCCAGGTTTCCCTGATTCTGGGAAACAGTGAAAAGCAACTCTCTCTGCTTGTATTTGTAATTCAACCCATCATCCAAGCAACTGTACTTTGCTTTGTTGCCATATTTTTGTCTATGAATATTTTTACCTAGGCTCTACCAACCAGTTTTCCATGAATTACAAACCGCAGATGCTTCCATTCAGATGCTTTTTTTCTTCCTGTAAATGGGAAATCAGGATGCACCTGCAAGCTTCTCAACTAGAGGTCTAGGTCTGGGGGGAACCCACCCAGAGTTCTGCTCGGGCACTTCCTTAGACATTGGCAGCCTCTGTAAAGGAGTCATTGGGGCCATTGCTCTTTTTGACCTCCAGGTTCTTTTTAGCCTTGAATGTCACGGACACCTCGGAGTGGATGGCGTCCAACCTCTGCTCGCAGCGGAAGGCAGAGAGGAAAGCCTTTCTGTAGTTGCTGTTCATCCAGCCATAGAGAAGGGGGTTGGCAAAGGTGGAGCACATGGCAATGATGTGGAACACGGTGAAGATGAGTTTGTACTCCTTCAGGTCCAGCACTTGGCTGTCAATGTCAACGGCAAGCTGGAAGGCGTGGAGTGGCAACCAGCTGACCGCAAACACCACCACCACGCACACCAGCATTTTGGTGGTTTTCTGCCTTCGCTGGTGGTAGTGGTCATTAGTAGCGACGGGGCTGACGTGATTCTTAAGTTTACTCCAGATACGAGCGTAGGAAAAAGATATTATGCCCAGAGGCAAAACATAGAGGATTAATAAGGATGAAAGGCTGTAGACAGTGCCGTAGATACTTGTCTCCTCACCAGGCCACTTCTCAGTGCAGGCCACAATCTCAAAGTCGGGAATAATCTCAATCAATGAATACTCCCGGAAGATGGCCAGGGGGCTTGCCAGCAAGGCACTGATGCCCCAGGCCAAGCCGATAATCAGAAAGCTGATTCGCTTGGAGATCTTGCTCTCCAGGTGGTAGACGATACAACGATGACGATCCAGGGCGATGACCGTCAAGGTGATGGTGGACACCTGGACTGCCAGACCCTGGGCATAGGGTACGAGGTGGCACAGGACAGGGCCCATTTTCCACTCCCCCATTAAGGTGTAGGTGAGAGTGAATGGCAAGCACAGGGTGTTCACCAGAAGGTCTGCCACGGCCAGATTGGCAATGAAAAAGTTTGTTACTGTGCGCATGCTCTTGAATTTGATTACCACGTGGATCACCAAGGAGTTGCCAATGACCCCCAGCAAGATGATGGAGCAATAGGCCAATATGAGAACCACCTGTACCTCGATCAGCTTGGTGCTGTCTATCAGCTCTGGCTCCGGGTCATGGCCCAGCGCCCCTCTAGGAGTGGTCTGCCCTGAGCCATATGGTTCCACCTTCGTTTCTTCCACTGTCTGGTTCTCATCAGAATCTGCACCTATTGGGCCCATTTTCAGCAATTAGCATAAGAATCTACAATTAAAAAAATAAATAAATATGAGACAAGGAAACTGCAAGGGTGAATAAAGAAATATCACAAATGAGCTGACTTCATTTTGGTTGGGGCTGAAAAGATTCATCCTCTGATACCTTAAATTTCACATCACATAACATTCTAATCAAGCAGCGCCTTTAATATGTCTATTCACAAATATGGAGGAATTAAATAAGCCCTTGCAACATAAATCACAATGATAGAATGTAATATCTATCCTTCATTATAGATGTAATTCCAATGTGAAGGCTACTAAATTGTCCAGTCCAATATATGATGGATATTAGAAACTTTATCAATTAATTTTATAACTGTTATAAATTCACCAAATTAATTTTAAGGTAGATAAAGTTGCCTCAATAGCTTGAACCTTTCAAATTTATAAATAGTGCAACAAATGTTACATAGAAGAGACAAAAATTAAAACCCTTTGCCTGGTATCTGGACTTTGGGAGTATAAAATATCCAAAAGAAATGGTGTAGATTCAGTTTCACAGCTATCTTTTCTAGTATAGGAGTTAATCTTTTTTTTAAAAAAAAAGGTATCCTGCATGAAACAGCTACTTCCCTGGAAGATCTGAAATAAAATTCCTACCTAAAATTCAGCAGAATCTTGCAGAGCTGATGTATGAGAAAACATGTTCAAATCTGATCTGATCTACATCTCTTCCTGACCCCAAAATATAAATGTTTGGACACTTTTATTTCTCAATGGTCCTCTCCAGGCTTTTCCTCCTGCAGCTCTACTCTATTTAATACTATCCCTGGGGACTAAGCCACTGAAAGTCAAAAATAAACCAGGTGCCCCTCCAGGGCCTGTTCATCACCTTTAGCCCCATATTTAAGATAATAGTCAGAGGGGTCTCCTATGTATCTGCCACCATGATCCTCTTCTTGTCATTTCTACATTAGTTTTGTTCTCAGAGTCTTACCATAATTACCCTAATAGTCTAACTTCCCTGACTTTTCTCCTGCTTCCATTCACTCACTTCACTAAGCCTGGGCATGGCTGCACCACCATGATGCTTGCACTTAAATCTGACTTCAGCAAGCATCTAAAAACCTGTGCAGCATTTTTCATTTTTGCACAATGTATGCATCTTGGTTATAGTCTCCATACAATTCCCACCCCCCTACACCCTTGTTTTGCTCCTACTCCCTCCTCCCCCACTGTAGTGTGTCTCTGGCTTATGGTTGCTTATTGATTTTGATTTTTACTTTATTATAATTAGTCTTTTTCCTGGTCCCTTATTTAGGTTTTCTAAATTCCTGCTATGAGTGAGACCATAAAATAATAATTTAAAAAATTAATACTAAAAAAAAAAAAAAAAAACATGTGCAGGAACCAGGATTTGTGCTGGGAACAAGACAACAGGAAGCGCTCTACTTTAGGGCTCTTATATTTTACTGGCCAGAGTCGACTCCATTAAAATGGTCTTTCTGAAATTCAAATGTGATTATATCATTTCCCCAACCTCCAGATTTCTTAAAACAATATAACATGTTGGCTTCTGATATAAAGTTTCCATTTCCAGTCTGTAAAAATGTTGAGAGCCTAACATCATAGAAATAGTTCCTTTTGAATACATACCTCATACTGAAAAAGGCTGCTGCCATTAATTTGGAATCTTCCTTAAATGAGTTTGTGTTTAATTCACCAGGCTGGCATCTTCCTACACGGGCAGGTGAGTCACCTTTGTTCCACCCACAGGCAAAGCCTGGGGGAACTGCAACCCCCAGACCCCATTCCTCACCCTTCCTTGCTCCATCCTGGTCTGCACCACAGGAAGCTGACTTTGCAGACTGTGTGCGACCTCCCAGGTCACTGATGCTGGCTGTTGCTGACCAATGGAGGCTCAGGTGGGTAATTAGAGGGCCTGAGGAAGGGAGAAGCCATTGTATTCTACTCCCAACTCTCCCCTCTGGGTAGAGCCTCAGCAGCCCTCTGTGAAGGCTTCTCACAGGACTGACCTGCGGTGATCCTGTTTCCAATGAAGGGTGTAGGTCCTTGGAGGGGGGGTGGCTTTGGTCAAATTGCTCCTCCCAGTGTCCCCCTAGTTGTGGGTAGTAATAACTCCCAGCCTCTTGTTAAATCCCTGGTGACCCCAACAGCCCCTGCTTGCTTCCTGTAACCAGTTTTCTGCCTTTAATTTCTTCTCTTCGACTTGCTTGAATCGGTGGTTTTGCATGATCTGCTGATAACATGCATAATGCAGTCATCGATTTGCTCTCCCAACAAAGGTTCCCGCACACCAGACTGAGAGCACTGAATCTAGAAGAAAATCCCCACTCCATGGTATGTGAATCAGTATTGCTCCTGATGCACCCCTGTCCCCCTCTGTTCATCACTCCCACATCTCCCTACATGTCTTATGCTCTGGTCAGACTGAACTACTCCAATTTCAGCAGCACATTAGGCTTTCATGTGTCTCCCTGCTCTGAACTGGGGAGCCTCTCAGCTACCTGAACAACCATCCACGGTTGCTCACCATCCATGCTGCCAGTAGCTCATGTTCCTTCCAGCTGCTCCCCTGCAAACACCCCACCAACCCGTCTCTTTGAGGACAGAGGATGTTCCCACTCTGGCTTAATCCTTAGCACAGCATCCAACACAACATTTCTTCAATAAAACAAATATGAAACTAAGGGAAAACATAATTTACTGAATAATTAAGGTAGCAAAACCCAAATTAATAATTTTCTCCTTCCTTTCTTGAAGATAATTGCCTATCCAGGATTTCTTGCTCCAATATGATATCCTTGTGCTTATATACTTGTTAATCAGGTAACCAACTGTACCACAGAGTTGTCCCAAGATTCATTTAAAATCAATCCCTGTTTAGAACAGTAAAATAGTATCCACCATAAGGAAAACTTCTCTTTCAAGGTCTCTCTCTCTCTCTCTCTCATAAGGTCCATACTACAGACAAATATTTCCACAAACTTGTGTATTTCCCTCCCTGATATATTCTAGATCCCTTTGCATAAATTTCATATAGAACATTCCAAGGAGCCCAGATCCTCTTCTGCATTTGCCTCCATTCCTCAGTAATTAGAGAAAAAGGAAAGTAATCAATTTAATCTTGGAGCGTATATTTGTTAGGGCCAACCATTTCCCTTAGACTAAGAAAAACACTGATATGACCATCGCTCAGTCAATTCTGACCAGTCATTAATAGAATTAATAAGACCCCTCCAAGAGGTCTGAGTTCGAGGTTTGCAGCAAACTAAATTGAGAGTATGTCTGAGACAGAAGCACATTTGGAGTCTATTCAATTTTTTAACTTAGTTTGCTTTTTCTTTTCAGCCCCATGTTCTTAATTTCAAAGCCCCTTTTCTCTGCAGGCACTTCTCTGCAGGAACAGTTATTGATTTCCAGGCTGTTAGTAGGTGGACAAATAGCTGTTCTCAAGCACAGGGCTGGCCTCCAGCAGGACAGAACATTACCCAGTGAATGCAACACTTTATGACTGCACTTCTGGAAAAGTGGAAGGGAGAAGAAGTGTACCTGGAGGGCGTTGAGATTTTCAAAGCTCAAAAACACAAAAATTAAAAGATAAATTGACAAGGGAAAAACTCTTTTCTTGAGATAAGCCAAAAGGAGGCATTCACATTGTGCAAGACATTTAAGGAGAACTGAACAAGTGATCTTTAGAGTCTGTTATAGAAATATTTCCTTGTAGAGTAGGAAAATGGCTTCAGGGTTTATTTTTTTCAGAGATTCAAAGAATTTCAAATGATCTGAGTGGGAAACATCTGAAGCTGGGACTACATATTTAAATGTGTGGGGCTTTTTGAAACAATGCCCTTATTGTCACAGGTTAGCCTTAGTAAGACTTAACATGTTATCAATTGCAAATCCTTCCAGAAATTAAAAAAAAAAAAAATTCCCCAAATCTCACCCTCCCCCTTCACTCACTTGTTAATGGGAGAAGGGGGGAGAATTGGGGTGTGGATATCCAAGAATGCTACATACCAGACTTATCTGCTTATCTAATAAGCAGAAAGTTGAAAAGATTCACCGAAGGGCTTGGGACTGTCCCTCTCCCTGGATTTAGCTCTGGCCTTTCTTTGAAAAAAGCATCATCTATTTCATATCATTGACTTGAGATGTTGTGTCCCCACAGCCAAAAGTTTTAAAACTTTTCCTTTTGCCTCCTTCCTGTCCACCATATGTTCCTACCAGTGGGTGATTCCTTCTGGTGGAAAACCAGTGAGTGCTTAGATGAGCATCTATTATTGAACAGTTTTGATAATCCACTATGAGCTTCTGCTTTACACAGATGTTTGATTTTTAAAGAAGAGGCAGAATAATATAAAAATATGATAAAAACTTGCTGTTCTGAAAAGATCATGGTCTCTTTCTGAGAAGGGTCAAGAAAATAGTCCAGATTCTTCAGTAGAAAAGGAAAATTCTGGAGAAAATAAATGGAGGTGTCACCCCCACCCCAAGCCCCACCTTTGGCCTAAATGAGGGTGAAAACGAGGTCTCTCTTCACACACCCGGAACACTTCTTTAGGGGTTATTCTCCTTCCCAGAGGGTGAATCAGAGTTAGGATTTTGACTTACTGATCCGGTCCGGTCCTCTCGTTCGTGCTGAGATGTGGATGCAAGATGTGTGCAGCCCTTGAGTCCGATGAGTATCTGGTCGTCTGGCCCAGAGAGGGCACTGCAAGTTCCCCCAGGCAAGTCCAGTTAGGTCCGCTCAGCGAGATCAGGGCGACCCAAAGAGCCTGGAGAGCAGCGGGGCGCCCCACAGTCCAGTCCTCAGCGCTGGGAGGCAGGTGCGGCGGGGCTCTGCACCCACCTGCGATCAAGCGCACTCCGCGGGCGCGCAGCGCGGTGCAGAGGTGCAGGGGGTGAGCGGGTGAGGCTGGGGGGTTCCCGGGGGGCGGGGCGGGGTGCACGGGGAAAGCGAACCCCCCTCACCAAGAAAAGAAAAAGGGGCAGAGGATAGGGGCGCTATGGCCCCCCACCGGAGAGGGCTGGATGGGACGTTTCCGTGGCGAAGGAGCAGGGGCCAATGGGCACCGGCCCTTGGTCCCGGGGGCTTGGAAGCCCGAACAGAGGAACCGTACTAGGCGCCTTGGGGGTGCCCACTACCACCAGCTACCACTGCCCAGCTCCCTGGAAGCCCCGAAGTTGGATAGTCTGCACCAGTTCTACCTCTTTTCTCTCCACGAACCCCTCCCTGTGCCTTCCCCTCCCGAGTTTCACGAGAGGTGGCGCTCAGAGGACCGAGCCCGGACTCCGACCCGGGTTCTCCAAACGCCCGCGGCACTGGCTACAGAGGCAGCTCGGCCGAGGGGCTGCGCACCCCGCGCCGCGGGGGAGCCGGGACCTGGCGCTGGCGGGGGGCGGACCTGAGCTCGAGTCCCGCGCCGGCGGGCGGAGAAAACCCCTCCACTCCTCCGGGGAGTTGCTTCCTCTTTTCGCTCGCGCGAGCCCAAGTGCAGAGCTGGAGGCGCGCAGAAGCCGGGCACAGCGGCGGCCGCACGGAGGACCAAGCCCTGGCGCCCGCGGCCGGGGCTGGAGCGCAGGGCGCTGGTGCCACTCGACGGGGCGGTGGTCGCGTCCCAACGAGAAGGTAAAGCGAGTTCAGGTCCATGTGGCCACCATCAGCAAGACCCTGAGCAGGTTTCTGCTGACAGCTTACAAGTTGGTGGGCACAGAATCCGATGAAAAGTGGGCGCAGCTTGTTTGGCGCGCGCTCTGGCGAGGCAGCAGCTAGAACAGAAAGAGGAAAACAGGCTCACAAATACCACTCGCTTTCTCTAGTTAAGTGACTTCTTGGGTGGCGACCCAAACCCCTCGAGGCGCGCCGAGCGCGTGCCGCTGGGGTGTCTCACCTGCCTGCTGGTGGCGATGCCCTCGGCTGCCAGCCAGGCTGAGCTAGCAGACTGGAACAAAACAGGTGGTGGAGTCAGTCAGCAGAGCAGAGGGACCTGTTTCCTCGGCAGCCCTAGCATATCTTAATATCTGACATCCTAGATAGCTTAGCTGGAGCCATTCCTTCTAGAAGCTTAGAGCCAGCCTCTCCCCCTGCTTATTTTAAGGAGCGGCAGCAGAGCTTACCAACTAGTAGTAAACCCAAAACGTAACACTGCGGGGCGGGGGGTGGGATGTCTTTCCTCTACTATCCTCCGGGCTTTGCACACAACTTTCCTGCCGTGGCTCAGTCTTTTTACCTCTGAAAGGAGGATAGTCTTACCGATTCGCTTGGACTTTCTCTGAAATGTAAAACAAATTAAACTACCCAAAAAAATACTCTATCCGAAATACTAGTGTTACAAGAATGGGCTTCCAGTTCTGTGAGCGCTTGTCCACGCTCCAACAGCAGAGCCTGTGTAAACCATAACCTGAAATTCATCTTCAGTTCATGTAGAAGCTAAGCATCTGGGACTTTCCTAGTACCAGGAACAAAAGTAAGCAGAACTGGAAATAGCTCAGATTTTCTACACAGTTCTCTGAAAATGTTTTGTAGATTTTTTTTTACCTTGGGGAAATGTTCCTGCTCACAAATGTGTGTGCAACAGTTTTGTGCTTCTTAGCATATTTGCAACAGGAAGATTGAACTATGAATCAAGGAAAAGTGTAAGAAGGACTTGAATCAACCACCACAAAGACAAATACCCAGGAAAGCAGATAAGTGCTTCGCTTCAGAGTGATTGCTTTGGAGGACTAAACTGATTTTGCCGACGTTGATTGCACAAACCTTTTTTCTTCTTCTTCTTCTTCTTTAGAACTGGCTTTCACAACATCTTAGCAGTCATCGTACAAATATTTGTCTCACTTGCTTATGGACATGTCTGAGAAGATTCTCATAGTTCCACAGATACCTACCTACTCAGCAAGCCTAATAAGATTAGATGAACTCTTTGACTAGTGCCTTCCAATAAAATACAGAATTGGATGTGAAACTGATCCATTGAAATTAAATTTGTTGTGCATCATATTGTCAAGACTAATTTCACCATCAGCTCATAAATTTTTGCCCATTGAGGTCTAATGGACACCTTTTAATGTGCATGTACTGTGTACTGTAGTCACAATGGTCCACTCTATACATATTCTCTCAAGACACAAACAAAATTGTGGAAGTGGTTGTGAAATAAGGATTAGTCCAGATTGAAACCAGCAGGATTATTGCTGCCTGGTTTGTGGGAAACCATTTGGGTCTTCAGGCAATTCCACATGGCACCAGATATGCCTGCTGCTCTTACAGGGGAACAAACCCAGACACCCACTTGGTTGGAGTCAGTGACATGGATGCACTGACAGGCTAGGCTCTGGGGACCAACTGGGGTGGGTCCCTCAAAGTACAAATGCACACTCTTCTTTCCAAGGAGGAGACTGTTTCTCAGAATCCACTGGACGGCCCTATAAAATATTAGCTCTAATATTGTCAGATATATTTTAAGAAAAGCAAAACTTATATTCTTAAAACTCTTCCAAATTTTCAATGAAGGAATTAGTTTTTAAAAAGGTAAAAACCCATTGGGCCAGATCAGTGAAGGCCAAGATAAATAAGGAATAAGAGGGAGAGCAAAGAAGAGGGGTGTGGGTAGGGGGTGGGAGAGAGAGTGACAGATGAATAGACACCTGTACCTGGCTCATGAACTTCCATAATGGTAGATTCAGATATTAAAATGTGGTGTTTGACAACTATCTATGATAAGACTCTGCGACTCTACTTCCGTTCCCCCACCCCATAAGCCATTCCACAGTGCACATAAATATAAAAATAATACAGCCAAAGACTAATGACCAATATGTACTTTTCCACTTCTTGTTGAATAGCTGGTCCCAGTAAGACTCTGATATAAATAACTGAATAATTCAGTAGTCTATGTAGTTACAATGGAGAAATTTCACAGTTCTTCATTAAAAAGAAAAAAATTAGATAATGTCAACATAGAAGACTGTTGATGGTTATTTTTTAGATAAAGTAAACCATTATATAAATTTCCTTCAATCTAAATTCACTTTGAGAATAAGGAAACTTCCCCCAAGATGTAAATGATTTCATTGTTACTTTAATTATAGCAGCAATTTATAACCCTTTTCATAGAAGGCATAAAAGGGAAATATATATTATCGAAAACAATGCCATCCCATAGAACTTTCTGTGCTGATGGAACTGTCCTCATCTGTGCTGTCCAGTAAGGTGGCCACTAGTCACATGTGACCACTGAGTGCTTGAAATGGGACAAGTGCCACTGAGGAACTGCATTTTGAAAATTTTTAAAGCACCAAAAAAGCTAATAAGTTTGCCTACTTTGAGGAAACTCTTCTGCAAGAAAGCTAGTGTTTTATTAGTTTGAATAGGGGAAGGATTCCTGAGAGATTGTAAAGTAAAACCTCAGGCCACACTGACCTGGCTTCAATCACAGAGTGGGATAGTATGAGGCAGCTGGAATGTACAGGCTGATTCCGCAAGGAGAAAGAAATGAATTCTGTAAAGCAGGGCAACAGCTGAAAAGAAGAAATCTGAGGAAGGAAGAGAGAGGAAATCTGTCAACCCAGTAATGTAAGATAAGGCTTTTGAAGCTAATAAAACAAACCCTACTAGCAAGTCTCTAGTTAGGAAATATTGGTAATCAAACTAATTTAACAGTGTTTAGGTAGTATTTGAAACAGATTGTGGCTTTATTTAAACATTCAATAAATGTAGTTATTGTTTATCCTTAGGCATATTAGGTTCTTTTACACAAGCTTTTTTTTTAGAGCCTCAACAACTTGTAGGAAAAATTATGGAACCTAGATATCCTCATGGCCTTTTGTTTCTGACATTGATTCTCAATTGCTTATAGATCTATTGTAGATTGAATCTGTGACTACCTTTCCTTTCAGGCAGGAGATGGAACAAAGGGAGATAAGATCTGAACAGATAAGATTGAGGTTTCAGCAAGGAGACACAGGGGAAAAAGATTAGTTTCTAGAAATGTAGCTGGAAGTGTTACAAGTTCTTAAATAGTCTCCCTTTTTAAAGGCTCATAAAAAAAAATAAATAAACTAGCCAGTCTGATTATACCATACAAGGAACACTTCTACTTCATTACAAACTTGATTAATTTCTAATGCATGGGCCTGTAAATAGATGGGCAAGAAATGGTCACCGAATAGTGAATTTCACAAAACAGATAGGCTAGATTTTGTTAGCATTTCTGTGTGCAGTTTGTGTTATGAAGACAGGTGGATCATTCAGGAAAAACAACCAGTCATTCAAAGTGAAATATATGCTAAATCCTAAATTGGGCATAAATATCATTGCTATGATTTTTATTTCTATGGATTTGGAGATTTTTTGTTTTCAATTTTTAATTGCAGATTCAAAGTAATTAAGCAGGATTGTAAGCAATATAGGCACCATTTTGCTGAGATTTTTATCTCTGTGTTCATCCAAATGGATATTGAGTCTGGTAAGGGACCCAATCTGAAGGGATATTTAAATGCAAATGATTCACCCTTCAAATTTTAAAGCAGAACAAAGGAAGGGACATTTTTATGTGGAATTTAGAATTTAATCAATGCAAATTTTCATTTGATTATCAGAAACATGAACAGAAGACCCATGGCTAAAGAGGAAACATGCACCCTTTCAGAAATTTCAATTTTATTTAATAAGTGTTTATCCTTGTAGCATATAGAGACATAATTTGATATATGTTTTTTGAATCGTGCACTGAAAACAAATTTAATTTTTCTCAAAAAAGGACAAGTAAAATCAAAACTCTCTCTTATTCTAAATTGCTATTGGTATCTCTTAAGAAAAGTCAAAGACGTATATAATTTTCACATATCATTTTGGAGATGGTGAAATGGCTTAGTCAAAGTAAAAATTTTAAAACTTAAAATGAATAGCACAAGTAGAATTTAATTCCAAGCTCAGTACATAAAATCCATATAAATTTTTTGTTACTCTCTGCTCTTATGAACCCGTCTTTATCGAGTCTCTAATTTGTTGTGGACACCATGCTAGATAGTGTCCATAAGAAGATGAATTACACAGACCTGCAACTAATTGTCTCCAGTCTGTTGAAGGCATATAGACTTCTAATTAAAGAAGTACCATAAGCAGATTGAGATCTCTGGCAGACTCTGACATAATAAATTTGGAGCCATGAGAAAGAATGCTTAGTTTTTAAATGAGTGTTGTATGTGGGGAGAATCAGGAATGCCTTGTGGGGAAGTAACTACTCACTGTAAACCTAAGTCAAGGCTTTTCTTGGTTTTCGTAAGCACTAAGAGACTATTTGGTGTTGGAAATATGCTTCTCCATTGTGATAAGTAGGGTGTGTGATACAAGGCAATGTACACCCTACTAGGGAAGAGCAATCATATGTATATGCCAAAGTAAAATATTTAAACTTAAAAACATCAATCTCAGATAAGACCAATATGAATACACATCAAAGATTGATTTAATTGATTAATAAGAAGTCTTGTGCAATGGTGAAACTGAGTCAAAGTAGGCTCCCAAAGGTGAATACCAAAATAATCAGTGTAAGCAAGAATTCCAGTTAGAACTGATATGTTAGATTTAAAACTGGTTGATAGCCTGCTTGTAATAAAACTATATTTTAT